CTAGGGACCAAGAGAAGACGCATCCCCACCGGCATGTACCGCCTCTTGAAGCTCCTCGCCCAACAACGAGGTAAACTCTGCAAAGGTCTGCCGCCGCCTCGAGAGCTCGCATCCACTCAACAGCTGCTCAAAGAGTTCATCGCTCGTGAGAGTTTCAACATGATGGTCAATTGTGAGTGTTGAAAAAAATGGGTTTCCACAGTTCCACATGGTTCCACCATGCCTCGAGGTGCTCTCCGCGGCTTCCAGCACGGCATTCGACTCCTCCACACGAACAGTCGATTCGCTGGCGAAGGTTCGGTCTGACGACTTGGTGCGCTTGGTGATGACCATGCCACCACTCATACATCACAAACTCAGACTGATGGGCTAACAAAGAGAGGCGTACACAATCGTCCCAATGTCTCAGCTCTTGGAAAATCAATCCGGTTCCCCACCCAAACACTCCATGGGACTGGCATATTTACCTGTATTGGGGGGCGAATGTATTCATTACTCATTACTCCATCTTATATTCCATACATGCAGTGCCTGGGCCCAGTCCGCCAGTCCGCCAGTTCCATCGCAGTGCCGGGGGTTCCACCCCGTCGCGACCCAGCTCGGTAGACCCCGTCGGTACCCTGTCTGACTCGTCTCCTGCAGGACTCGCTCCAGATTCTCCTGGCGCGGCGCTGGATGGGGCGAACGAGAATGCTACGATATGCACCACCCTGTGAGGCAGGCGGTATACAGAATGGTTCCTGAATAGGTATCTTCACCGTCTTGTTTGTGGGTATTGAAATTATATGAAATTGTTAAACACCATTAAATGCCAACGGGTGGAGAATACACATACTCCAAACATCTTCAAGCACCACCAGCGCCTGTTCTCGCGCCCCGTTGAACCAGGCCTTGACGGAGGTAGGAGTCAAACCATCAGCGCTGGCCGCCTGCGAAGGTGTGGAGGCAATGGCGACCGCAGAACTCCAGGAAAAAGGCAATCATTGACGTGCCGAGTACTGGATATGTCTATAAGTCTATAAGATTCTATAAAAAGTCCTTCAAGAATCTGCACCCTTGTCCAGAAAATGAACTCAAAAGGGGGGCCAAACAGATCCAAGCCAAATGAATTCACAAGCCAATCAAACTGTCTCCGGTGCCCAAGAACGGCGACGCCTCATTGGCCTCGCGCGCCGCTTCGACCGCCCTCCGGGCGGCGGTGACCTGAGCGCCGAGGCGAGGCCACGTCGGTCGTTGCAAACGAAACCAAAGGGTCTTTGGGGGTTGTATCTTGTTGTTGTTGTGGTCGTTGTCTGTTTTGAAAGGACTTCCTTTGACGTAAACATGTGGAGAAGGAATATTCCACATGCGTCACAAACGAACGAAACCACGAAGCCACCGGTGGTCCGCTCGATTCAAGTGGCGCTCGTCTTTGGATGTGGGAGCTGGATGTGAATGCTCCGTTGAGCACGGAAAAGGCACAAAAAGAACTCTCAGAGCACTTGGCAAGCTGCTTTAAAGCAACAAGAAGCTACTAGGGGCTCCTGGCATCGCTACTAGGAGCAATGCTCATTTTTTGCCAACCACCCAAGAATGTCAGCCTCCGGCAGGGAGCCTGTGATCTGCAAAGGTCAGTCTGAAAGAGTGGGTGAACTTCATGAAAGGAACTATGACAGGGGTATACATGATATACAGCCATGAAAAGGGTCCTTCATGCTATACTTCATGCTATACAGCCAGTTTTGCATAGTTTTGCTATTCAATCCACCCCTGAGACTTCCCAGCTGCTAGGAAATCATCGCCGAGCAACGCGAGCAACGAGAAACGTCTCCCACAATGTCCCCGTCCCCAAGCAAGTCTTCAAACTGTGGGATTTCAACCAATATTTGCCAACGATTTCCGCACCACCAAAAAGGGCCCCAGAAAGCATACAGTGACATGATGAGAACTGGGCTCCTTCAACTGTATAATTACGTCAAACATGTTGCATTGTGTTTTGTGGGTTCCACCTTTCAAGTGGTTCCCAAGGTCTTCTGAGAATTCATATCCATCATCCGAGATCCAAACGGGAGCCATCCCAAGGTCTTCGAGGAAATTCCACGTGAGGCTCCGGCCAACTTCTGATCCATCATGCCAGTGCCCTTGCGGTGTGGCCACATCAGCGGAGACCGATGTGGATGTTATCCACTTGGAAACGAAAGACCTGAGAATTAAGTGAGATTCAGCAAGTTGAGCGCAGGAAAAGTTTAACCCCCCTCTGATTGATTTGGCCCAACTTTCTCGCGACTCAACAGAACCCATCTGGCCATTTTTTGAAAGGTGCATTCGTTGGGGTACCCAACGATCTCCCCAAGTCATTTGGCCATCGCTCTCATTATGTTCATCTTTACACCCTTCAATTCTTGATTTCACCCATCCCTCATCCTCTGGTCCTGTTCCCAGTTTGACCAATTACCTTTCTCTCCCAACCCAAACAACTCTTGTACAAGAACCTGCCCCCAAAACACCCAATCATCCAGAATCCCAAATGTTGTCTTAAGAATTATTCATAGGAAAACCATTGAAAACCTATCCAACATTGGCTGTTTTTCAAGCTCACAAATGGAGCCCCCCCCAAAAAAAAGCCTACATATATGTATTCATACCCCCGATGGGATCTTTTCATCGGGTCTTGGCAGTGGGACCTGAAAGAGGGATAAATGTCAAATGTACAATGAAGTCCAACACTCCGATGGACCTATGCCTACATGTTGACCATGACCAGGTAGCCAGTCCCACAGTGTCCTGGTCATGAGACCGGGGCGTTGACCATGGCGGCGCTCGAACCCTCCCCGTATCTCCCATCCGATCCTCGCCTGCGTCATGGCGAGAAGTTGGGGCCGAGCTCTGAAAAAAAATACCAATTGGGAGAGGGCTCTGTCGCTTTGTTGTGAGATCTATCTTCTTTTTCGGCGGACTGTTCACTCTTTGGTTTGGGTGAGGTCGCTTTTTGGATCTAGAAGCATTGTATAATATTGTATATATATATATATATGTATCAGTCTTGGAAGTAGGATCTGGAGCTGCAAAGTTCCATTATTGCCCAAAGACTCACTCAAGTTGGAAGTCGGTCCAGCTGGACGACCGCTCTCCGACGAGACTGTTCCAGGTGGCTGTTTTCAAGCCGCGTGGACGACCGGTCAACCCAATTGCGGACCTGGGTGACCTTCCAGAAAAGAAGAGTCCCATACAAGCTCCATGCGATGTGTTCTCTAAACGGGTGGTTGGAAGGCCAGGTTGGAAGTTGCAAGCTGAGTGCCTCTGATTTGGTAGACCATGGTAGTCTTGGCCGCCTCTGATGTGAATTGTTTGCACCAGGGGAGTTGTTGGTTCAGCCCTACTTTGCCTCCCTAACTTGAGCCAAGATTTCCCAGTGGATACGCCAGCGTTCGATCACAAAGGCAAAACACGTGTCCCTGTGTCCACCCTTTGCAGCTCCCGCGATGGGTCTCAGGTATCAACCGACAGTGGGTTTTTATTTATGTTTCTTGGATGGTTCCGAACGTGGACCACACTGACATCCACCCACCTTTGATGGAGCTAGCGAGCTACACCTGGAAGGCCTCACATCTGAACTGATTCGAACTAATCACATCCTACACCCGGTGATGCCATGGACAATTTAAAGAAAAGATTCCTCAACAACACATGTTATTTTTGATGTCGCATGATATGATCTGGTTCCAAGATAGACATGAGGACATGAGTCATGTCGATGTAAGGCCATTTTGTATGATGAAAAGGCCATTTGCCGATAGACGAACATGGTCTTCAAAAGGGGGTATTACATGATCAAATTAAAATCAATAAGTTGGTCATAGTTAGTGGTTAGGCCTTTCTCAAGAATAGTGATACTACGTGAATCTATGTGATACTCTTTCACCGACTATGACGTCATGACTGGATTCCGTGAGAGACCATGATGCACCACTTCTCCCCACCATCGTCGCCATCCCCGTTGAGCTGCTCGGATGCACAGCTGGGTGCTATGTACACGACGCGGGTGGTCGTTTTCGAGGAGCGGACCTGAGGTCTCGGTGCAGGAGAGAGGTCTGGTCATAAGCCAAGCAGTGGACACCAAACCAAGTAGATTGGCTGTATGCCATAAAACATATAACTATAAGTATTCCTCACACTTCAGACTTTTCATTCAGGGTTACATAATAGAATATCTTCGCAAATGTTGTCTTTCATGTCATGTCTGCCATTGTCTCCGCAGTGTGTGGCGCCAAAAAAAAGACGGCGATCTCCTTTGAGTCCATAAGATCTTGGGCCGAAGGGAGATTTTTACAGATGGAGGAAGATTCGGCGCCGTGACACCGAACGAATGAATGAATCGGTCAAGGAAGGTTCTTTCGTTGAAACCATGCGAGCTGCGAACAACGGGAACAGAAATTGGTCATACAAACCTGAATATTGAATCCCCGATGTCTTGGTCTTCTGTCCAGTGCACCGTCAGCATGTCTTTTTCACACGATCCCTTCGCTTGTTCATGGGATCTGGCAGTGGGCGGAAAAGCTGGAGCTTCGGAAAAGCTGGAGCTTGGCATAGTCCGAGGAGGTCTTTTTCAGCGAAACACCAACAACTCTTGTCCGACGTTACGCAAAGAAAAAGAAAGCAACCACCCATAGCTCCTGCATGCTCCTGCAACCATTGTCTGGAGAACCAGCACTGCCAAAATGCTACTGTTCTGACGTGATCTCGTGACGTCGAAGAAGAGGTGAATCCAACGGCTGACTTTCTACGATTTGTTGAACGATGTCAATTCAGTGCAGAGTCGAAAACATGTCACGGGAAAATCAAGCTGACTCGATCACTTTGGTTGCCCCCGAACAGCAGGATATCATCATCTGGCACGATGATCCCGCCGACAAGGCTGTCTTCGGATCCCTTTGTCATAGGTGAAGGAACACGCACACACACACACACATTGTGTGTCTACCATGCCTTGTTGATGAGGAACCCCTTTAAAGAATAGTACTGCCAGTCACCGCTATCACAACAATCAAGGATCTTCACAGCCAAAATGGGCTGTCACTGCTACTAGAACAGTAATGGATCTGTACACCCAAAACTGGCAGCGTGCCAGTGTCATCCTGCGAGCCGCAAGTCAAGCTTCAGGATGATCTGCCGCGCTACACCATCAAAACTCAGCCAGCTGCACACGTGTGCTCAACCTGAGGAGCAGCAAACCAAATGGGACCAGACCACAACAACCGTGGCCATGGAAAGAAGGAACCATGGCAACTTCAGCGGATGGTGTTTGGCAAGTGACTATACCAATGAACCACCACTGCCCATTCCTGTGCTCCATGACCATCCCTTCCCTCCAAGCTGTCAGGGCACAGAGACAAGACTGCGCGATGGGAGTTGTTGACATCCGCCCTCATGGCCACTTCCAATGGACCATCGCCATTGGACGTCCTGTTTCGATCCGAACGGACGTCCAAAACGCCATGGTTGATCCGAACGGGATTCGGTGAGGTCACCATAATATCGATAGTAAAAGCCTAGGTTACAAGGATTTGCCTCAAAAGACCAAGGATTTGCCTATCTGCAGTCTGTATAAGAGATGCGGCCCCAAAACATGTTGAAATGGTAGAAACATTGGATACTGATAATATATGATAATTATGTACCATTATAGAATATTGAAAATTGTATATATGTAGATTGTTTGGGTTTGCGGATTGGCTCTGTGTGTTAGCATTCCACTTGCTTGGGATGGGCTGAGATGGGTTGAGTTGGGCTGGTTCCCAGACTCTAAACTCTAAACACTCTAAACATCTCTAGAAAATATTCTAAACCTTAAACAGTCCATGAGTGAAACGCTTGGATCGTCAGCCACCAATCTGAATCAACCAATTCCCGCTCAGAAACGGCACGAAAGGCTCTGTTGTCAACCAAGGTTCCTGGGTCTTGAATCCATTAAATATCGTAAATATGTAGTTTAAAGTACATGTTGTCATTGAACCACGTCCCATCTTTCCCTCCGAACACCCAATCAACACTTCAGCAGGCTTGCCGCATATAAAATTCCGCTACGGGGCCCCAGCAACCTCCCACTGCAGACCGCACCAGCATTTCCGACCTGGAGCTTCCCCCTGTTTTTTTACGCCGCTCCTCCGCTTGAGGTCACCCCCAGCTTCCAGGATCCCTTCCAAGGCCAGAGCATCCCCCAACCTCGCCGGTCAAGTGGAGCCCGTGGGAGGGGGGGATGCGGGGATGAGTGCGTCCTGGAGGGTTTTGAAGCGGCAGAATGGGTTGGGTGATGTGGAATCAAAAACGGGGTGAGTGCGAGGAAGTTCCAAATAATTCCAGTACAAGCAGCATCAAGGAGAATCTTGTTGGGATGAGTGGATTGAAAGCTGTCAGAACACACACAATCATATCTTGCACGGAGCCTTGCCTTGCCAGTCAACGTCCCTTCAAAAGAAAAGTGAAGGACAACTGCATCACCAGAAGCACCATGGTTTCATGAGCAAGAAAAGCTCATCAGCAAGCGCTGCTTTGGCGGTTTCTCCAAGGAACTGTGCTGCCAGGTGAATCGGATAGAGCACCTCCCTGTTACCTCGCTGGCCGTGTTCGTCGAAGCGTGCGCATTCGTCGAAGCTTCTTCACCCGTCGAAAATGGTATGGCGTGCTTTTTGTTGAACGCCTTTTTGCAGGTCACTAAAGTCATCTACAAGCTCGAACCTCCAAAAGACCCCTGATGAAAGAAACCTGAGTCGTAGTTCCTGTTCACTTGGGCCCCTCACATTGCGTGTTCCAACTCACCGCTCAAAATGTGGTCAGATTCTAAATTCCTCATCACCATCCCATCATCCCCTCCTCGGTCCGTTAACTATATATATAGTTACTGTACCCCCAACAGAACATTGCATTTCACTGGTTTCCATGAGGTCCAAGAGACAAAAGGGCAAGCAGCTGCATTTCACTCGGGGCTCATTCCTCAGGCCAGTGCATCACACTACGACTGAAGGTGAGACTTTAAACATGTCGGCCAAGGACCAATGATGACTTCCAACTCATCCATCGTTCTCAGCCATGAACATGCTCTCTACAATCAAGGAGTCCCCCGAACTTGTACATGGCAGGATCTCCAATCACTGGAATGATTGGACTGTAGAAGAGTTCAAAACATGGCGAAGCCAGCACCACCCAAACACAACCTACACTTTTCCTGGCCTACTTAGTTTGCCCCACCTTCTTTAGCCTTCGAACATCACAGGCTTGATTTGGCCCCTGAGTGCAAGACTGATGAGGAATATTTTGACTTGAGACTTGAGCTTTGAAATGCCCAACAACAGTTCCATGTACTATTTTGAGGTCATGTAACCAATTCTGGCTACTTGAAGACTCCAGGTGCCAATTTGGGGGCACTTTCATGATGTTTCATTGTTGCCATCGTCAAAGCTATCGTTGAAACCAACATGTCCAGACCTCGGACCCAATTTCACCATGACCAGGAATTGCCCTATGGTCAGGGGGTCCCAATGGTCCCCTGTCTCCATCCAATCCAAATGACAAGGTGCACATCAGAAAACTGGTGCGCACGAAGAAAGCTCTGCCTGAAATCCGCCCGGAGCGAAACATTGTTTCAATGTAACGTACGATGTCAGCGAAACATTGTCAGCTTCTATTCCCTTCAGTCTTCATTATCCGCCAGGTGGTTGGTTCTGCTGCAACAACTAACACAATCCGAGCGGAACAACTGGAATACACGGTGAGCGCTTTCGAACCCATGGCATGGTTCTGTTGATGTTGACAGTGGCAATCATGTGCAAATGCCTTGTTGGAACACCTGTTGCCAAAGTTTTGCAGTGAGTTGCGGCAATCCATCTGAAAACCATAGCATCATATACAACAACGACCATGGCCATGGCCCACAAACACGCCTTTGAAACTCAAACATGCATCAGAACCGACATTAAAGTCAAAAAGCGACTCGGAAAAAAACGCTGCTGTGCGCAGAACAAACATAGTAACAAACATGAACATTCCTCTGCACCATTGCAACATAAGCTACTGTATGTGATTGAAAGGACGTGTGTCAAACCCAAGGCTCGGCCCGGTGAGTTGCCGAACCGGACGACCGGACAACCGCGGTTGACCGAGCGCGACGAAAGGGCCGAGACTGCCAAGTTGCAAATGCGCATGCATCTCTTGGACACCTGGCACTTTCAGAAAGAGCTACGTACTTGTCTTTTTCATTTCTTCCCGGATGCGATACTGCGATACTTTCTACGTTTCCATGGTCAATACTGTAACCGTGAACTCTCCTCTGCGAGAATTTCATGATGAAACAAATATTACGGAGAGCTGCATTCACGTCTGTACTCTCTTAGAGATCTTAGTGTGCCAGGGCTCCTGGTCCGATCTTAACATGGTGTGCTTTCTTGATGTTCGCCAAACTGTAAAGGGAGAAGGACTCGATTGGCACCCACATCAATATGTATATATATATAATATAGTGATATATGCATGTATATATATAGTCATGTATATATATAGTAATAATATGTTGTAACTATTATCAAAGTATATATATATATAATATGCGCAAGACTTTCGGCGTGCGAATCTGGCTCAATCAGTGAACCTTGGGATGTGAACAGCGGTTGGCAAGCATATTTGTGGTCAAGATCATGGCAAGCATATTTTTGGTCCATACATCCATACTTGATACTAGAACAATCTAGAACATATATGCTAGAACCTACTCCCACTCATGACTCCTGGAACTTCAAGCACCTGCATTGCAAGCAAGCCCTCTTCTACCAGGGCCCATGCGTCTCACTGTAGTGATTCCATGAAAAAAACACAGACACATCCGATGTTCACACTCTTTACACTGTACTTCCGCACCCCGGGACAGTGCTCGGGCACAGCGCATCCGAGTTTCCATGAGTTTCCATGAGTTTCCATGAGTTTCCAAGGGTCCCTTGAGCCGGTGCTTTTGTCGTCTGCTGCAGACGACTTGGAACAGACGACTTGGAACACCAACGCGTGCGGTCACCATGCACTGGCAGAAACCACGCCTGTGGCACGTGTCTTCGCCTGAACAGGGCAGGAATGGCCGAAAGTCGAAAGTACCATGAATTGATGCCTCACACTCTTCACTGCGGTGATCATCTTTGAAAAGGACGGTTCTCCGCCCATCTTGCTTCTTGGACACATGCACACATCATCCTACATCTAGAGTTGAGCCACCAACGTAACTCTCAACAAAACCCCAGTGGAACCGATCCAGGGACCGTCCCAACCAGTCCCAACAGGTCTCTGTTCGTCGATCGGAGTCTCACCCGGTCACCTCCATGCTTCGTGCGGTTTTCCCGGTGGGAGCAAGTGGTCTCGCCCTTGAGCCCGTGGTCTGCAGAGTGCGAGGAAGGAGCCCGGCGAGCAAGGAGCCCTGCGAGGTTCTGCGCTGGATTGCCACGACTCACCAAAAGGATCAGCCAGACGTGTGAGTGTGTGTATCTTGTGATTGGTTGACCAAAGGGGATGGTGTAGAAAGCAAATCAATCATAATCAATCGGAAGAATGAATCCGGAACTCACGGGGGCCTCTAGTTTAGTTCCTACGGTTGAGTGTGTACAAGAAAGGATGTGGAGGCCATCGCTATTAGGTTAGAGGCCATTGCTATTAGGTTGGAGGATGTTGGAGGCCATCGCTAGTAGGTTGAAAGACATTGCTATTATTAGGTGTTGGTGTGACGTGTGTGTGTATAAGATGGTGGATGGCGGATGGTGTCTCAGAAAGGATGACGACTTTTTGAGGTCCCGAGCTAGCCATCCTCAGGAGCCAAAAGGCCTCGCAGGACTGAGCCGAGCCGAACGCTGAAAAAGCCGAGCCATCAGATCATCAGACCCCGAGCCATCAGGGAGTTTCGAGGTGCTTAACATGCTTGACTTGGAAACTCGACTTGTGCCATGCCCAAGAGTTTTTTGTTCAGTGTCCTCCTTTTGAACATCCAAGAATCAGTCCTGTACATACTAAGGACCAATGACTTGGAAGTTGTGGGGTCGAATGAGATGACCCACGGAGAGCTCGACAGATTTCTTTGTGGGACGGGCCCGGGTATCAAATCTTGCTATATGTAGGGACCATATTGCTAATACACTTGGGACTTGTGGATTTTGGGGCACATGTTACTCTTCCCTCATGATATGGGAGTGGTGCTACTAAGCATACCTCCAACATCCTCCAACAAATCCTACGTCACTGGCAGAACTTTGGCACATCAACAATGGCCCCTCCAGGCACCAGCCACCGCCACGGGTGCCTTTCTTCCGGAGGAGGTAGCGCTCTTTTGCACTGAGAGCCTACGGTATCGAGTGGACCAAAAACGCCCCGGACGCAATTGATTTGGCAGGGCTCCACGAAAATCAATGCTAGTAGAACCGCAAAAACAACTGGAAATTCGCATCTTCACCCTCTTCTCATCCCATCCAGTGGTTTGCCTGCTTCATTTTTAACACTTCCGGGTAGTCAAATGGCTCGAACTCCTCACTCTTGGATCATCCCCCTACGCATGGTTCCCAAAGGGGTCCCTCTATGTCAGCCCACACGCGAATAACCTGTTGCTACAAGCAGTATAGTACATAACCTTGAAATGCTACTCCTGCTGACCACCTGACTTAGACATCTGTGCAGGAGGACCATTCCGATGTCAAGGTAAGATTGGACCTGGACAGTCATAGACCATGGCCCAGTGCAGGCCTAGAAGTGAAACGACTCTGATTATCACACAGGTGACCACAGGTGTATATATATATATAGTAATGAGGTGATCCTTGGTGGGACCACGGCTTCGAGTGATTGTTTCAAGGTGCCCCTGGAAACCACTTCTGGCCCTTCGAAAAGGCTCCTTCCTCCTTGCCATGCCTTTGTCTGACAATGCTTCGCTCATCTAGCCAGCAAATCCTAAACACCGGCGAGTACAGTTCCATGACGTCCACCAACGCCACCGCACCTTCTCCTCTCTCTTCTCTTTGGCCTCCTCCTGAAATCCAAGGCTTGGCCGGAAACAAGATGTTAAATGCACAGTCAAAAAACAACAACATATAAGGGTCCCCAAAATAGATAGAAAAGTACATCCCCACGTACAAAATGCATTGGACACCACTTTTATCTATTTGGGGAGCTCTAAAATTAACTAGCACCTGTGGTCCACAGTCTTTTTCTGTGCCTTTGGACAGTTAGCAGCCACGTCACAATCCACGACATGAACAGTTGTGATACCAGGCCCAGCAGTCCAGCAGTCCGCGTGGTTCTGCCAAAGCACCACAACAAACTGCAGCTATTGTTTTTTTGAAACTTCAGAGAAGCAGATCATGAACCACTCAAACTGTGCACAAACAAACAAAGGATGTGGCAGCTCTGAAGAGGTCCTTGCTGCCCGGCACTGCCAAGGGCTTCACATCCTGTGGCAGAGGCGGGCCATATGCCCGTGAAAGTGGGTACAACATCCTCGGGTCATATGGAAGTGGATGGCATAAACCGGAAGAGAACTTTCCCACTAACAGGTGAAGTGAACTCCACTTTCACCAGTGCATGGCAGGATTTGCATGTTGTTTCGCCAACATGAGTGATCCCTTCCGGGCCACGGGGCGACCAACCCAACAGTCGACGACTTACGTGGAAGTACACGGATGGTGTGTTTAGAATACCATCATCCCCTGGTAGTGAGTGTTGCTCGCGGTATGGGACATATTGGGACCAGGAATGAACGAATAACACTTGAGTTGATTTCATTGGGACTCAGAGTTAGGCCATATTTGTGATATCATGTTAATCATATCTACTCAGAGTTGGTTTCATGAAGCAAGAAAGGACACTATCGGACCGAGCTCATCTTCCTGCGCTTCCCGCTTGGCATCGATCCCCCAGTCGACCATTCGGCTTAGTATATGGCCCACGCCACGCCACGGTGCCTGCACACCATGTTCTTCATTCTTCTGCTCTTCCTTCACTTCATCCTGAAACATCACCCAAACCGAGTGGCCCACAGCCAGACTAAGTGACCCACTCACCGCACGAAAGACGCTGCGCAAGAGCTGACGTTGTTGGGAACATGCTCGGACCACTGGGAAGTCGCTCAAAAAACAGAGAGAGAGAGAGAGCGTGCACCCCTGGACATGTCTTGGACACCGGAGTGCATCAACTTGAAGCGCGGCTTGGACGCTCAAGTGCGAAAACTCCTACAACTACGACTGGCCCGCATCAACTGCCGGGGATGTCTTCAAATTCTTCAAGACTGAGTCGGATCCGTTCTCGAGCAAATGTGATTCCCCCACGTGCTGCAAAAGGACAACTGCTAAATGACCCTCGGAACTGCTCATCTTAGTGAGACAATGGGTCCTGCTTGAGACATTCCCAACATTGTCTAACTTTCAGACATTCCCATCTCAACCTGAGCCTCCACCTGCTCTGTTCCTTCACACGCAGCGGCTTCCAAGAAGGCCACTTCCTGCGCGAGTTGCTCTCGCTGAGCCGCTCGTTGTTGAAAGGCATCAGTTGCCCCAATCCAAATCCCGGTGGTCACCTGACGTGCTCCGCGTCATCCAACGACGTGCCACGCCATCGGTCGATTTTACCACAGGGTGTCACCACAGCAAAGAATAGAAACCTTGGGTGATGTGATGTGGTTCTTATTGTGCTTGGTGTTGATGGGAGCTTTTTGTTGGTTTGCTGAATGGTTCCACCCCAGCAAGGCAGCACCCCATCGTCATTCTGGTCCATGATCCAATCAAGCACTAAATATAAAGCACCCAAAAAGCTCTTCTGGCCAAGTACAACCTCCACATTCCAAGACTTTAGTATCCCTTGGTGAAGATCTCGACCACCAAAAAACCCAGCTGTATGCCTTGAGCTGTTTTCGTGGACTGGGCCGGTTCCTCACCCCATCCCTCCCAGCTGTGGCGGTGCCTGGCGATAGAAGATCCCGGAGGTGACCCAGACCGACTTCTGGGCCTCGGCCAGTAGGCCCTGAAGCTCCTGGAGGTGACGGTGGGACACCTCCGCGCTGGGTGGGTGGTTTTGATGTGTGAAAACCGCAGGAAATGCCTGGGTCAAGTTGAATAGTCCCTTGAATCTAGTATGCCCATAAAGAACCCAAGTTGCCAAGGTCCATTGTGATTCAATTTGATTCAATAATGTTCCAAAAACAATATCACAAAACTACAGTATAGTACACTATATTGAACTGAATACGATCTACATGAATCTACATGCCGAATCAATCGCTCCTCTGAACCACTTAGGGCTCTCCTGTGCAAATACTACCCCTCAGATTGCTAAGTCTTTGGACAATCTCTCGGGTTTTTCCACCAAACCCCGTCTGGTCTTCATTTCGCAGCCATTTGTGGCGTGTCCCGGTCATGCATGGTGGGTCACATCCCAGTGGTCCGGTAGCGTCGCATCGGACGCAGGACGCTCAATTTACACACCCCTCTGGAGGGTCCAAGGGTCCTCTGACGCCGGATGGACGGAAGCCGGGACGGAAGCAGCTCCTGTAGCCGTGGATCTTCGTGCGCGGGACTGCCCTGCAAACGAAGTTCACTTTGGCGTTCCAAGATGAGCTCCTTGTACTTGGTCACGTTGCGCTTCTGCTGCTCAAACTTGGCCTTGTTGTCCTCGGCGTAAACCAACCGGGGAAACGAGAGTCGGCAAGCCATGGAACCATCAGTTGAATGGATGTTGAATGTCAACTTCGTCTTGCAAACCGATGCTAACTGATGGGATACAAAAGAGCATGAACTCATGGAGCGAACAAAGGAAGGTTTGGAGAACAGCCGGGGTCAAAACGGATTGTTTTTGAAACAAACAGGATGGAAAAGGACGGTTTTCAAGGAAAACAAGTGATCCATGGTGTATCACCTATTGTACTACTTTGTAACGCCTTTACCCACCCGAGGAAAGTTGATAGAGAACACAAGCCTCCCGCGTGAGTGAGAGGTTCCACCGGACAGATTAATAACACAACTACCTCTTTCAACTGACCTCTTCTGGAGGCTTTTCGTGGACTAACAATTAAGCTTCTGCCGGTGACCTGTTGGAGGCTGTAGTATTTGTGAAAATTAGAGAACCTGCATTCAGCCTATGCACACAGCAAGGAGGAGTTTTAGCATCTTAAAGCGAAAGGCAAACTTGTCCGCTTTGATGTACGCCGCAAAAGCGCGAATCGCAAGAAAAGAACGCTGCGCATCCTGGACGGAGGGGAAGGATGGACATCAACACGTGGGTCGTTGACCCAAACGTTGCGAGGATTGTGAGGATTCCTCGGCTCAGATGGCACGATCTCAGACCGTTCCAAGACACCAAAAAGCCCTTCACCGTTGAGGCGGGAAAGTTCTCATGGTTCACGTG